GGATGGCTGCCACCCTGAGGGTAGCTTCCTTTCACCTTGCATAGTTTCCCTATGTTAGATCCTCTGAAAGCAGAGAATAAACCTCAAGGGTAAGGGCAAAAGCAGGGGAGAGAGGTGGTTTGGGGATTTGGGTCTGAGTGGGTTTTCTTTATGTAAATACACTCCAAATTCTGCAGTCCAAGGCATCTGAGGTGAAGAGGCTGATGGGGAAGGAGCAGAGGGAAGCGTATGGAGTTAAGACACATCTCATGCTGTTGCAGCAGGTGGTAGTGAGTAAGTACAACAAGCAGTAAATTGTGGAGGGAATGAGTGGAAAATATGCAGACAAATAATCACAGAGTCGAGGTAACTGTAGAAACTGATTCATTGAGGAACACAGGAAAACAAGCAAAACAGACATCTGTCTTCCCTCATGATGATAGAGAAGATAGAATTGTAAAGCAGTTAACATAGATGTTACTTACATTAGTAATATTTAGGGTTCAAAATTAACATAGTTTTCAACTGAACAGGGACAGATTCCCACTCCTTCTTAGTAATCCAGGATGCCTGTGCACTCATGCAGTAGGTAGTTCCCTACCTCACATTTACTCTTGAAACCAGTAATAAGACCTATTTCCCTCTGATATTTTGGCTGTTTTGCCTTTACCAGTTCTATTTTTAGTTTAAGCTCAAGCAGCTTGGAAAATGCCGAGGAGACAGTGGATGCTGGGCACCATTTCACTCCATTTATATTCCACCTTCCACTGAAGAGCAATAGCTGATTAGACAAGTGCAACTAACAGCAAAACTTCGTCAGCTGTATTTAGTCTGCAGCTGGGGAGGGAGCAGATGAAGGATGCTGAGGGAGAATTTCATGTCCTATATGCTTGATGCACCCAGATACCTCAGGAGGAGTGCCACTGACTTCAAGAAAGACTGTACTAGGTCATACTGATAGAGGAAATTAATGGCTGTTGATCTGGGGCTTTGAAAGGAGTAGAGCAAAGCAAGCCAGGAGTTAAGAAGGGTTATCCAATTAAAAAAGAAATGGGCAATTCCTCCACAGAAGAAAGCTTAAATTAACTTTTCAGTCACATCAACCCCTAGAAAATGTTAATAATAGACTGTATGCATACTTTTTTATAATGGTCTAGAATGCAAACATTTTCAGTAGCGTCTGATGCTTGCAATTCTTTCGAAACAGGTGTTGTTAAAGAATGGAAAATCCACCTGAGTTTTGCATGATAAGCACCAGCAAACCGAAAAAAATGAGCGAGAACTCTTCAGCTTGGCAGTATTTATTCTTTGACAAGCAGAGCAAAGCATTTTGCTAAGCATTGATACAGCCGGAAAAGTTCAAAAGGGAGGACAAGGATCATTGGAGATATAGTATGGCTTCCACAGGACAAAAGACATTTCTTCGTTGAGAAAACAGGTAGCTGAGGAGAGATATGAGAGACCTATGAAATCCTGACTAGGTGATGTTTCAACATTTCTGAGAGTGCAAGAACTGTGAGGAGGAAGGCAGCCAGTTGCATGGCTTAGAAGTCTAAAGATTTACATCTATCAAAAGGAAGCATTTCTTCACACAATGTGTAATTAAATTGCCACAGGATCTTGGAAAACCAAAAATAAAAATAGGTTCAAAGAGAACCTAATCAGATTCACAGCAGATAGGTCCAGGAAGAGCTATTACACAGATGTCATATCTGGCTTAGGAAGTCCCTGAACAACAGACTGCTAAATTGGGAATGTCCACTGGGAGAAGTAGTACTTTATACACACCCTTTATACTTTTCCTTTATACACTCTCCCAAGTATTTCCTACTGTCCCTTGGCAGAGAAGAGCTGTTAGACTGTTATTAGTTGTTAGAAAGACTTTAGCTTTAGGCCGACATTACAGTGAATATCTTTCAGTTCTATTTATTTAGTTTTAAAAAACATTGCTTTAATTTGACCACCAACCTGACAAATGACTTTATCTGTGATGAAGTGTGTGCATGCATACACACACACAGAAATCCTTGTGTTTCTTCACAATCACATGCTCACAGAGGGTTTCTTATAGTTATTTAGTCAGGGTTCACCAAGAGCCAAGGCATTAGTACACAGTGTACTCTTCCACACCTTCCATGGTACAGAGAGAAAAGCAAATGCCTTAATTCAGGCTCCTTCTTCTCTGTGCCCCTACCTAAACATCACAGCCACCTTCTGCTTGCCTCAGTGCCCTAGAACTCTGATATACTTGTTTCAGTTAACACCCTGGCTTTTCAGTGTGCATCAAATCCCAAATGTGGAAAACATTAAGGTCTTCTTGCCAAGAGGATGTATTGCTGGAGACACTACGTTTCAAAGCTCTCAGGAGTGTATTTTTACTGGGTTTCCTATGAGCTACAACCACCAAAACCAGACTGCTCAAAAAATTAAACAGAATGACCCGATTTTTTTTTTTTTTTTCCTTTGTTTTATCTATAAAATGGTATGCTGCAGGCTGGCTTGACAGATTCTTGGCACCAGATTGTGTAACCTATCTGTCTTCAAAAGAAAACCAACTTGGCAATAGAATATAGCATCAGTTCAAAATTAAAAAAATACTCCCAAGGAAATGTATGTTGAATGAAATGGAAATGCAGGAAGGCACCCACTATCTGCCTGCCTCCAGCACATCTATATCAAATGCCTAATAGATGGTAATTTTAGTCTCTGACATTGCTTCCTCACTCACTTCCAGGATGTTTTTCTCTTACAAAATACCATTTGTGTCCCACATGAGCCTTTTTTGTTTTGCTGTCAGTTAAAACTCCGTGCCACAGGAGACCGGATGAAGACGTTGCCTAAGTTTTCACTGTTTTTACACCTACAAAGCATTTGCAGGTCTATATAAAAAAAAAAAAAAGAAAAAGAAGAATTGCTTGTATTTGTTAAAACCCGAGATTTGCTTCTTCCTTTGCTTTCAGGCCTGGCCCTTTCGTACTCAGTTGTGCCCTGCAGGCACAAGGCAAAATAATTACAGATTCAAAGAACTGCAGCAGATATGTGGCCTAAGGTGCAGAAAGCCATGAAACCTCAGACTGGATAAACCAGTATGGAGAACAACAGCATGATGTGTTTTGAACAGCAACAACACGGTCACTTGTTAGCATTCAACTCTCTGCTTCTAAGTCATCTCTTGCTTTCTTTTGAAAAACATGTTTTCATTTCAACTCAGAGAACTTCTTTCTTTCCTAAAAGAGACCCAACCCAAACCCCAGAGAAGATCTAGGTTTCAAAGCAACTGATGCATGGTGAGCCTCAGAGGCACTTACATTAAATTCAGCCTGACTCACTTTAGCCATTGGCTGTACTGTGCCTTGTTTGTGGGCTTCTCTGCTAAGGTTGCAGCCGCTGACAGCAGAACAAAAACTGCAGGAGCTAGGAGATACAGTACTATGTCTTCTAATGGCAGGATCTTCAGCCATGTATCTTCAAACTGTACAGTCTTGTGTGCTTTGCTCTATCCCTCTCCTTCTCCGATTCACATAGTCTTTTCATCACTAAGAGTCTTAGCAGAGAAGCTAATCCTTTATGGCAATTTTAGAATAGACTATTTCAGTTAGAAGGGACCTACAATGATTGACCACCTCTCCAGGAAGCCTGTTTCAGGGTTTGACCACCTTCTTGGTAATAAATGCTTCCTAATGTCCAGTCTAAACTTTCTCTAGTGCAGCTTTGAACCATTCCCACGTGTTCTGTGACTGGATACCAGGGAAAAGAGATCAGCACCTCCCTCTCCACTTCCCCTCCTCAAGAACCTGTAGAAAGCAATGAGGACTCCTTCAGCTTCCTTTTCCCCAGGCTAGACAAGCCCAAAGTCCTCAGCCCTCAGCCACTCCTCACAGGACATTCCCTCCAGCCCTTTCACCAGTTTTGTTCTCCTCCTCTGGACACATTTAAGGACTTTCACATCCTTCTTAAACGGTGGGGCCCAACACTGCACACAGCACTTGAGGTGAGGCCCCACCAGCACTGAGTACAGTAGGACTATCACCTCTTTTGACTGGCTGGTGATGCTGTATGTGATGCACCCCAGGGTGAGGTTTGCCCTCTGGGCTGCCAGGGCTCACTTCTAATTCCTATTGATCCTGCTGCCGACCAGCAGCTCCAGGCCCCTTTCTGCAGAGCCTCTCACCAGCCACTGCTCTCCCAGTTTATACTTATGCTTGGCATAAGTGGAAATATTAGCTCCACCACCATTCTAAATCCTTTCACTTTATACCACACCAAGAGGTGTGGTGTGGTAAGCCACACTTTATATCACAGCAAGAGGTGCAGGCACCTTCCCTGGCCGCACAGAAGCCAAAGAAAATGGTGAAGGACCATCTGTCTGTGGTTTTAGTCTCCCATGGCAGTGTTCTTACTTCAGAAACTACCATTGTTTCAGCATTCAGAAGTTCTTGTGATGGCAAACCAAGTAAAATTACCAGCTGATGGTGTGACTAGAGCAATAAGCAAGACAATTTTGGGGGAGGACATCTTAAGGCAGACAACATCAAGAAGCAAGAGAAACTAAAAATGAGAGCCCCTTGTTCAATAAGCATGTGTGCTAATCAGTCTGGCACAGTATATAACTTCTTTTCTAGTTCAGTAGAACTGGTTGACTTCTAATAACGCAATTATCTTCTGCAAGTGAGGAATGGAAGGTGCTGCCTTGAGGTCAAAAAGTTGCAGGTAGAGAGAAAGGACAAACAGAAATGGATGGAAATGGAAGTGCCCTGCAATTGAACTGATCAGCTTCAGTAGATAAATGTTTTGAAAAAGTCTGGGAAAGGGTGGGTCATGTGAGGAAAGGGAAGGAAGATTTGGCTTGGGTTTTGTTAGCATCATGGGGGAGATCAGGTGAGAGATAAGAAAGTAACAGTTGAAATAAATGCATACCAATTTTTTTTTTTTTTTCCTGCAAGAAGGATTGGACAGAGGTCCTCTATAGATGCCAGAAATTGTAGAGCTGCAGTAAGGGAATGGGTGCGTAAAATATTATTGAGAGCAGGCAGCATAAAGGACTGAGGATAATATGAATAACGGTGATGGATCTAGTTGTAAAATGGTCAGGTAGTGGTAGGAGCATTTATTCTTTGAGCTGTACAAGAGGAGGAGCAGGACTCAGATCTTGGCAGGAAGTCCAGATTACAGAGAGTGAAGGACTAATGAAAGATCTGAGTCGACATGGAAGATGGAAGATGGAAGAGATAGAGCTGTCCTCTGAAGATGCTTGGTTCTTGAGCTACCTTAGATCAAGAAATGGAAGCAAAATCTTTTGCTTATTTGGTTCAAGCACAGAAGCAGGAATATTTAAAAGAACATGAGGAGGTAAGACTCCTTAGTGTGAGAATGACAGTCATTTGAGGTGAGGGAAATTGGGGAGGAAAGAGCAGGAAGCAAAGAGGACTGAAACAAATTTTGTATGGTAGGCTTTTGGTGCATTAAGCAGAGAGCTTTCTTTTATAACACTGCACTTAGTAGCTTAAACTGACAAGGAAACATGATCAATTTACTATACTTATTCTCTTTGCTGTGTCATTCTTCTCGTTTTATATTTATGTAATATTTCTGAAGCCTGAAAGATTAGTTAAAAAAAAATTCATTTGTCAAAGATTCAACTCAAAAGGGTTTTTCTTCGGAGCTGCAGATGTCATGGTGCAGGGACAGGGAAGAATGCACTATATTTACAATTCTATTTCTGTAACAGATAATCAATACATTGTGCTCTTCTGTGTTTAAAGAAAAAAAACGAATATGGTGCCAAACTGTGATTATAAATCCTTTGTGTCTTAGAGTGCACTCATTTTCTGGAGATTAGGGGCTGTCCTCTATCAGCCAGTTCACTTCTGAAAGTCCGTGATAGACTGCTGCTTGCCCGTCTGCTCCAAGGAGCAGCAACCTCAACTTTATCATCAAGGAAACCCCCAAACACATCTGTCAGGAGAGGAGGTAAAGCAGAAATACTGCTTTCTCAGGGCAGACCCTCACAGGCAAATCTTACTTTTTTATCTGGAGCAATAAAAACTGCAATTGAAAGTGGACTTTGGAAGTAAGGTATTTACAAACAGACATTTCTTTCTTTCATTGTTTTAATGTGTTTTGGTTTGAGTTGTTTTGGGTTTTTTTTGAGGGGAGGGGGAAGGTTGGGCTTTTGGGGTACTAACTTCCTTTGTGCTCAGGCTGAAGGGAAATAGTCCTTCAGCATCTATTTATCTATTCTAATGTGCTCATATATATAGTGCTGGAAGAGTTGTGGGTAAATGGGGATAAGGTCTAACACATAAAGAAATGTCTGTCAGCAAGAGACGTTTTAGCAGGTTAATGAGGAACTTGGTAACAGCCTAGTAAGGTCATTGCAAAATCATGTTTCTTTTTGCTGAAATCACTTCAGCCTTTTAAAACCACAGGAAAATACTCTGCTACTTCATGGGGAGATTTTGTTGAATTGAAAATAGTGTGGGTAACGTTCTTTTTTAGGGTATTTTTAGCAGTGGTAGTCAAAATCCAGTGTGAAATGGACATTTCTATTCACTACTGCCGTTGGCGGGCCAGAGGAGGGTAGAGGACCCTAATTTTGTCAGTTTAGATTTACTGTGACTAGGTTTTCTCTGGAGAGATTGCAAGGGTGACTCTTCCCTCAGTGACAAACCCTGAAGCTTCTCCCATGATGCAGTACAAGGAGCAAAATGGCTCCAGAATCCATCAGCAAAATGGCTCCAGAAGCCAAAAGTTATGCTGCTGCCAAAAAAAATGAAAAACTAACAGACTTGGGTGGGTGCATGCAGCCACAGCATCACTGGGCAGGCCTGCATGCTCAGAGGTGAGGGGAGAGTCCAGTTTTTCTTCAGCCAAGTCCAGTTTTGGGCAAGAATTAAGATTTACAGTTGTGGTCAAGCACTCAAAAACTTTGTCTGGGAAATGCTATGCACGCTTATGCTTCCCTACAACTTAATTGCAGTTTGTCACCAAAAAGAAATACAACCCTTAAAGACAACAACTATTATATATATATTAATTGAAGCATGTTTGTTTACTAATTCAGGTTGCACTGCAGACTGGTGAGACAACTGAGTTTTACAAGCTTGCTTTTTAATCTCAACATTTTTTCACAAGGAAGCAGTTGTAATGCAGAGATGTCTGTGTGAGATACCTGAGCAAAAGCAATCAGTTTGGCTCTACCACTGCACTGCTCCACGTGGCTGGAATTATTCTGCTGAAAAACAAGGTAAACTTCCCCATCAACTCCATGCTGCTACAGCCACCCAAGGACTAATATTCCATCTGCATCACCTTTTGCTGTTTAGGTAGATTTTCTGGGGAAAAAGAGCTTATTAAAAGTACATTGACCTTTAAAATATGTGGCACTTTTCTTCCACTTCTGCCAGTGGTCTGGAAAAATCCCCTCTGAGAAATAAGAGCTACAGCATTTACAAGACCCAGCTTTTCAGTTGGGTGATCTAACAATTCATCCAGGAAGCAGGTTAATATGGTCATGTGTGCAGGAACTAGGGCTCTTAAAAATTAGTTGTGGCATAATTATTTACTTTAGAAAAACATTATTAACTTTTACTCACCACTTTTCCTCCTCTACTTGAACTCCTATGGACTGGAACTTACTGGTTGCTTTATTTTCAACTGATTTATTGGACTCTTCAGCACCATCAACCTTAAAAAAAAAAAGAAATCCAGCTACTTATAACATATTTTAACAGAGATATAGCCCAGCTGCTTACAATTTCTATGCAAAATAAGTGTCTGCACATATAACTTGTACTGTAAGTACCTTCATCTAGTCAGATAGTTTACCTGTGCTGTGCCCATTTCTGATGTTATTAGTGGACATTCATTATTCTTGTTAATCTACAAATAATTTCTAGTAAGACAACATTCAGTCTGCAAAATGTAGATGGATTTTATCCAATGTTTTCCGGAGTCTGGGTGTTCCCGTTTGCCTGAGCAAATCTCTGAGCAGCTGTAACTCCACTTACTGTGCTCTGTTTGATTTTACCTGTTAGTCTGTATATGTGCACATACATGAACTCATGTCAAAATTATGTGTTTATTTTCAGTGTTTATATCAGAGCACTGTACAGATAAGACTTAAAGAAAACAGATGATGCTTTTGGATGCATTTTCTTTACTGCTTCATTATGCAAATAGGTGGTCCCCAGGAGCAGAGGCAGGAACTTTATATCACCTCCCCATCTCTTTGAGGAGATATATACCAATGGTGTAAAGTTAAGATTTAAGTCACATTTAAGATATGTCTTTGAGAAAAATCAAAATATTGTGGGTCCAGTCAGTGCAGTTGTTAATTGCCAATGCTATATATGAGATTAGTAGTCATGCAAGAAAAATGATTTCTGGCACACAGAATTTTTGGACCACAGCAGGGTTACAAAGTGACCTGGGGATTCACTCTGATTCTGGATGTACCTTCTGTTGTAGTTAGCATCTCTTCCACAAGTAAATAAGCTTGTTGAGAGCCACTTGAACAGCCTATGGAGGAAAAGTGCTCAAGGAGGGATGAAAAGTTACAGACCTGCTCAAAGAATTGAGGTACTTACCTGGTACTGAGGCTTTTGGGGAGATAACTGCCTTAAATCCTATAACTGAGAGAGAGAAGGAGCCTTCTGATGGAAGGTTTTTTTTTTGCTTTACGTTGTTTTTTGCCAAACAGATTTACAGCAAAGGCTTGGGGTGCAGCCCCAAGTGCCCAAAAGTGACTGAGGGGTGCAGAGGACACACATGGAGGTTCATCATGAATACACATTAGCATTGTTTGTTAGAGGAGGAAGCAAACCAAGACTATGCCTCTTCAGCTTGCCTTGCTCTGCGATGATGGGCCAAGCTATAATTAAGGTGCATACCTGGTCTGAGTAGAGTATAAGCCTAAACTAGGTTCTCTTTACAGTCAGTGGAGAGAGACTGACTCCACACTGCCAGTCTGAGGGCTGACAGCATACCTACCTATTTTAGGGCAGTTGTTTCTAAAAGAAGTAATTTCGAGCAGTAACAGCTATTTTATGGTATTTCCACTCCCACACTACCTCTCCAGCTGTACCACCATCATGATTGCTTGTGCAATGATGCTGCAAAATGGACCAGATAGCAGACTAGTAGTTTTATTTGTGAAGCCTGCCTGACTCAAAATCTCACTGATGGGCATAACTGGGAGGGTGGAACGGTGCATGGGCAGGAATCCTGTAAGACTGTATCACTGCTGAAGGCTTTGTTTCATGTAATCCCAGTTTTTGGCATCTCCATTATTTTGTACACAAAAATTACCCTGGCAGAGTCTCATGACAATCCCCAGGCAGCTTTCACATATGATTATGTTGGTCATCTGTAAATTTCAAAGTTTCAAAGACCTGAATAGCATTTGGAGCTCTATTTGCCTCAGATCTCAAGAAACTGAGGCCCCTATACTTCCAAAAGCAACATTTGTTACTTGCAGAAACACTACCTGAAGAAGAGACGTCAGGGAGACGGTGTCTCAAGAGCCTTGATTCACATTACAGTTGTTCATTTTGGCTTCTGCAAACGTGGAAATGATTTCTTTCTGCCTATCATTTTGCAGGGTGTTTGCCTGCTAAGGAGTCTTTGTTGCCTTGCTCAGTGAAATGAGGAATTACAATGTTAGACTTGGCTGAGAATGGGAATAAGTAATAGAAGAGCTTTCCCTATCCCTGTCCCACCTGGATCATGCACCTGTGTTTAAAACTGAACATCGGCCCTTCTTTCAGAATATATCCCAAACAAACATCCGTGAAACAGAAAAAGGCTACAACCAAGGCAGAGAACCGAACCCACAGGCAATAGTAATTACTGCCCTTCCAAGAAGAACTAAGAGAAAAGTCGCAGCTACCCCAGAGCTGCCCCTGGCATGGCATACTTCTACACAGCACCTTTCATCTCACCAGGCTGATGCAGAGATTTCATGGTAAATTCTTAGGCTTTGCTAATCAGACAAGCTTGTCCAGGCACATAGAGCTGTGCGTACAACCTCCATCTGCAAGAAAAACATCATGTCTTCAGGCTGATAAGATGTGGATTGCTATTCTATTTGCTTGGGGTTCATCTCCCACCAAAACCCATGTTGATTCTCAGTTGATTGTAAGTTCAAGCGCTTCATTGCAAATGTTAATCTTGCAGGCAGATAGCTGGAGTCCTATGCACGTTCTTCTTTTCTTTATTTTTTTATTTTTTGGCTCTTTTTTTGGGGGGGTAGAGGTATGGGAAAGATTAATTAAGAAAGCAGATTACATTGGTCTGGTTTATTTGCTCTTCTTCCTTCTCTAAATAGGAGTGAACTTTGGCAGGGTTAGTTTTCTTGTTCCCTTCCACTAGAGGTAACAAAATGTAATTTTCTTTCACAAGGGCAACTTAGAAGAAATTTACCCTCTGCTCTTGAGGCTGAGATAGCAACAACGCTGCCTCATTCAAGTGGCTACCAGTCATTATGAAATGCATGAATAAGCAGAAACAATTAATTCACTGAGGCTGGACGAAAATATTTTTTGGGTGATAGTGTAATGTAAATCATTGTTTTACACATTCCCTTTCAGTGATTTAATTCATGCCTTTCTGACCCCCGCTGTGTTATGATTCATAGATTAGTGCTCATGTGTGTAATTTAACAAAGCTGAATAACAAACAGCAAGGAGACTTAAACAAATCATTGCATCTGATGTTTTTACGATAAATTAGGAAAACATCATTAGTACCATGCAGAATGATTATGCTGCTGCAATTTCTACATAAGTACCTGTCAGGAAAAAAAGAAAAATACACAAAACATTGCATAACAAGCAGTAAACCAGATGTAGAGATCCAAAACAATGGCAGGCAATAATCCATGTACTGTACTGTACCTGTATTCCAATAGACAAGCATCTGTTTTTCTTGAAGTGGTCCTTCTTCCTATCTTCTACTGCAACGGTGGCAATGGTTGTGGTGGTGGTGACGGTGGCAGTGTTGTTCCCTACATGTTGACTTGCAGGGCCGTGGATCTGTGCATTGGCAGCTTCAATAGCAGCTGTCAGAGCCTTCATACTGTCCAAGCTCTCTGTGGAGTTGCTAAGTCCAGACTGACTGATGATATCTCCCCTCTGTCCATGGCCATCCATATATGCATCTTGGGCAGATTCTGTGCTGCTCTGGGCTGTGATAGAAATAAATGGTTTTGTGGTAGTTCTTGGTGGGACTGGAGGCGGTGTCTTCTTATAGGTGGTAATGCAGGATGACACTGGAAAAAACCATATGAGAGTTCTTGATTTATCAAGGCTGCCAGGAAAATGGATGCAGATAGGATTACAAAGCATCAGTGCGCATGGAAAGAGCAGATGTAAGAAGCACACTGTCAGCCACAGAACCCTCAAAAGCTCCAGTGTAAGGGCCATAAAAATACCTTGCTTATTGGTGTCCTCTGTTCCTACTAATGTGAGTGGCAGAATTGCCAGCAGAGGGAAAGAAATTATCTATTTGCCAATTTCTTCCTTAGTCTCTTTAGGATTGCTTTCTTCAGTATATTGTCTACTAAGTGTTCAAAGTCCCATGGGAAGAAGTTCTTGCATCAAAATGTTTGTTCTGCTCATGGCTTCCAAATGAGATTCACAAGAATTATGAGTCTCTCACCACTTATCCTAGCTGAACTGTACTTCACACAGCCTTATTGCAATTGTTTTCTGTCTCTACCCTGTCCTACTGTATTTACCAAGCTTATTTGGAATTTTAAACTACATTTCTCTGCTCAGAGATGGACCCTTAAACCTATGTATTTCTTGCTATAAAACATCTCGCTAGTTGCACAGACCTCAAATACTTTGAAATGTTCTGTAAGCCCCTGAAGATATTGAAAACAGCACTTTGCCACGCCTAAATTTCTCACCATAAATAGAAGATATCAGTTCTGGAGAAAAAACGCTTGATTTTATACACAGGGAGTTAGTGTAATGAGGTCAATGGCTAAAGCCTGTAAGTGAGTGGGACTACTTAAAAGAAAGAGTAAGTATAAATGCTTATAACAAGAAGCTTTAATAGAAGTTTATGAGAACTCCTCTTTTTCTATTTTGAAGGCCGTGCTCTCTTTTTAAGTGCTGGTATATGGATTTAGAAGCTTAGCTTGACATTCCCAGGTTAAAACCTATTGGCCTCTATATATATAATCACATGCAGAAAGCACTACATGGAGATAGAAACATCTTCCTTTAAGGGATAGTTGGCATCTTTGCGTTACTGAAGTCTTGGAATGCTTTCAAATGAGGAAAGAAAAGTCCATTAAGAACAAAAAAAACAACCATGATACACTCTATTCTTTAAGAAAATAAATGCAGGCATGAACCTGTGCAAAGTTCAGACACAAACATGTTAACATAAATTCTTATTAACAGTAATCATATGGCAAGAAATGAATCATCAGATCATTTTAATTGGCAGACGTCTATGCCACCCACATAAAAGGTAACTCTGCTACAGCTGTTCTGCTTTCTGATGTACTGTACATGCTTGTTAAGCCAGAAGCCATTATGGAATTAATTTGACTAGCTCAGATCCATATGCCTCATCTCCAGATAGCTGTAGGAATAGTTACAATATAAAAGGTGTTTCCAGGGCATGAAATCACACAGGATTTTTTTTAGGGATTGTAGTGTAAGTTTCTGATAACATGTCTGAACCCATGTTAAACATGTTGAATGCTAACGGAAAAAAAGAGTGTTTCACTAAGGCAGTGAGGGTTTTGAAACTATGATTCACTTCTGAAAAATCAAACAGAAACCACAGCACCTTTGAGAGGAGAGATGGCTAAAAATGAACTTGTCAAATTTTAACTGTGCGGAAGTGACTAGTGGATTAGGGGTTAAAGGTGTTTTTTAAAGTGCATATGACAAGATCAATATCTGGAACTAACAGAAAGGATGGCAATTTTACAAAGGGGACTGTGAATTTAGTGCTGTTCTTTACTGGTTTTGATGGTGCCAAAAAGTATTTGGTGTGACTGCACATTTGGGTAAATCAGCTGCTGTTGCTGCAGCACAAGCATTTACTGTGGGACTTATAGAGAGTTGTGGAGGCTGCTGCTTGGGTGATGATATCCCAGAAACAGCCCAGGTGGTTCATGGTCTGGAGAATGTTCTCTGAGTGGTGGAAATGCAAACTGAAATTCACTGCTGAAAATTCAAAGCACATACACATGCATATATCTGGGTAATGCTTTGGGAAGCTGGTGCCAAACTTGTCTAATAGAGATTGGTGTGCAGTGTTACTTTGCAATTCAGCAAAGTATAAATTGCACCTTTTAGAATATGCTAGGCAAGGTCATTGTGGAATGGGGACAAGCCAGCAATTTCAGGACATCCCAGCAAGGCACCTAAGTATCATTTTTCCTACATAGCAGATAGGGAAATGATAATGAAACACACTCAGAAAGTGCTCTTAGGTAGGAGACAGAGCATCAAAACCAAAATGCAAGCCTTAACAAGACTTGTCCACACATCACTGGTCATCCCCCACTAGAAAGGGAGTCAATAGCAACTGTCTATCAACTGTTACCATGCACTCTGGACACAGCAGTACAAATACAGAAATGCCTGATTAAGATGTCTTTCATTCTGTTGGTAAATGTACTCAATGAGGAGTCTAATCCACACTGCAATGAAAGATGTTTGCACTCAGCTAATTAAATCTGAAGTTATTCTTAAGAGGGGGAGAGAATTGACAAGTCATATGGTGAAATTGTAAAGAGAAACGGCAAACGTTCTTTTAGCAAGTCAAAACAAATCCTCAGTTTCCTGGAGTCACGCAGCACATACTGTACAGCTCTGGAGAAGCAGAGTGTGCAAGTCATAAAAGAACCCCAGGCACTTCATTACTGGAAATGATGTAAGCTCCTGCCGCTCCTCTGCAGAAACGACAACAAAACAATGCTCAGGCCACCGTCGCTGTTGGAGGCAGCTGCGCTCTCAATGCTGTAGCTGGCTGAGCCCTCCAAACAGCTGAAGCACAATGACGGGAGGGATTCGGTGCATCAGTTTTTCTCTGGGTGCTTTCAAGAACCTGGCAACTTGCGACATGGCAACCTGAAGGATCTGCCCACTGTTCAAGTGGCTATGGTATTTTAAACGCCAAGCTGCTTGAAAAACAAAACAAGTACTCCCCAAGAAAAATGACAAAACCCTGGCGTTCTCCTTGTGCAGCCAAGAGAGCCTGAGTGTTCAGTCAGTGCTTGGGAAGAGCACATCACGTTGTGCTCTGTCCCTGTGGGCAAAGGGGAAGCTCATCCATCCAGCTCTCCTGCAGCAGAGATGGGCTGCCCAGCAGGACGACTCAGAGGGAGAAGATCACAAGATCACGGGACACATGAAAAAGATGGAGAAATCTTCACTTCACACACAAGGAACTTTCAAGGGGTTTTGCACATGAAAGTCGTTTTAATTCACATCAGGAAGTGAATTTAAACGGCTATATAAATTCCTTGATAAACATGTTCTTGGACATGGATCAAAGAGCGAAGTTCTGTACGGAAACTGATCTGACTGGAGAGTCAAGTCAAAGTAGTCTTGTTTTCCATTAAAATTGTTTAGACATGGAGTTTATCAGAAATATCTTTTTGAATAGCAAATGTGTGCATGAACCCCCAGTTTGTCACAATATAGACTAGCTTTTTGTAGCACTTAGAGCACACATGCTGCTGGACCAAGTATGCATTCCTCTCCTAGGGCATATGCAAGGCTTAATCCAGAAACTAGTTCAGTCATGCACAAGAATCTTCCGACTCCTAAAGCACCTTGAATTGGGCCCACCGTTTCCAGATGTATCAATCTACCAAGTAATGCTCTCCTTTTCCTTTTGATCTTTATCTTTCTTCTGTGGCCTGCCTTCTGGTTACAGTTTAATCCTAAAGACCTAGTGAAAAAGCACTTTCTCCAGATTGAGAATAAAAAAAAACCCAGTCATGGTGTTTGTCTTCCTAGCCAGTATTTCCAAACAACTAGCTCATGGGACAGGAATTTGGAACAGGGAGTGTCAACCACCCAGTTCAGAAGGAAGTCTAATGATAAAAAAAAAAATAATCCCAGATTGCATAATAATAAAGGCTTGAATTTGAACGTTTCATTGTAAGAGCACTTCAGTTGTTTAAACATGCTCACTAGGGAGATGAGCCCTCAGGAGCAAACATCAGCATGCAAACACAAAGTTTTAGCTCAGTGAATGGGTGCTCAGTAGAACCCCAATGCAGATTAATGTTTGTGAAGAGATCAAATTCATGCACTACTTTGAACAGTTCAAGTGATGAGATATGTAAGCAATATCTTCCTAATTTGGCAGCCTCATATTAAATTGTTGACTTAGTTAACAAATACAGGAATAAATGAAAGTGCAAATGTAAACTTAATTAACATAATAGTGTTCCTCTTGAGAAAAAGGACTAATTCCACAGCTTGAAAGAAGCAGCAAAGGACAACTTGAGCACAAGTAAGTTTTAAGATACAAGGCAGGAGTTCTTCTACTCCACACAGATATGCCTCAGTCTTCTGATTTACTGTCTATTAAACAGGTGTGTAAACAGCAGTGCTGTTGCATCTCACACAACTGCAACGCAAAACACAGGTGTAGGCACAGCCAAGCAGACCTGAGCCTCAAGCTGCAGCCCCTGAACTCCCCACACAGAGGTGCAGTGCTTGATTTGGCTTGGTAGAGTTGTTATTCTCTTTACCATGCACTTCTTTCCTTACTTTATGGAGCTCCTGAGGAAAATTCAAATGAAAAAAAGAGGCTTATAATAAGTGGAAGCAAGGACAGGTGGCCTGGGAACAGTACAGGGATGTTGTCTGGGAAGCTAGGGACCAGGTTAGGAAAGCTAAGGCCCAGTTAGAATTAAACTTGGCTAGGGATATTAAAGATAACAGGAAGGGATTCTACAGGTACGTAGCAAATAAAAGACTAGGGAGAATGTAG